GATTCCCAGTCAGGGCACATGCCTGGGTTGCAGGCCAGGTCCCCGTTTGGGGGTGTACAAGTGGCAACCAATTGATGTTTCTCTCCCTATCTCCCTCCCTTCCCTTCTCTCTAAAAAAGAGTAAATAAATAAAATATTTTTTTTAAAAAAAGATTCTAACTAGAGACACCTAGTGAAAACATGCCCAGGTTCCTGAGCACATAAACTATAGTATAACAAATATTTGCTCTTTAAGCCACTAACTTTTTTAAAACAATGTGTTATACAACAATAGATCACTAAAATATGGCTGGATTGATCAAGAAAAAGGTCTGCCATCTTCAAGGTAAATGTTATTATTCAGCTCACATTTTAATTATTAGAATATAAACTTGTATAGCTCCTTATAAATTTAATAATGAGGATTTAGAAACTGAAACCACACATTAATCAGAAAGTAAAAAAATATATAAGCCATTTTCTCAGGTGAGAGTAAATACAGGTATTGTTGGCAAGAAACTAGGACTTTATTATTTCTAGCTTCCTGTCAAATCTCCTCAACTCAAAAATAATAAATTTTCTTGACAAACCATTCAAAGTAAGAGGATAAGTGGGAGCATATGTGAGCCTAAAGGAACATCACCTTCATTGAAAACAGCTGTTTTGTTGAATAAATATAGAAGTAAAAATAGAGCAGCCTGACAACAATGCTGAAATAGACATTAAGTTTTAATGAACTATTTCATATTAAGATACACTAACCACAGAAACCAGTTAAATATTCTCTAAAAACTGTGTTCTGTGGTAATCATGGAAATGATTAAGGCTGATAACCATCTGGTATCCACAAGTTAGTCACAATGGCCTGCATCTATTCTGATAAATCAGTGATATATGAGGCCTGCCCAGAAAAAGTCCAGCCATTGTTAATATAACAAGAACTATTTGCACAACATTGATGTAACCTAGTGGCCAAGGAGGGTGGACTGGAATGTGCTTGCGTGAAGAATGATGACTTCTCTGTACTAGTCAGTGGCAGTGGTAGATGCCATTGAGAGACCATGCATACTGTGTGGCCTTACCATTCAAAATGAGCAAATACAGAAATGAATCTGCATCAGATTTTGCATTAAGCTTGAACATTCCTCCACAGAAGCTATTTGGATGATTCAGGAGGCCTCAGCAATGGGCAACTGGTGATTAGCCGCTTCATCATGACAACACACCCGTTCATGCATCACATCTCGCACAGAGTTTTTAACAAAACATCAAATCACCCAGGTGACTCAGCCCCCTACAGCCCAGATTAGGCATCCTGTGACTTTGGGTTTTTCCCAAAATTAAAATCACCTTTGAAAGGGAAGAGATTTCAGACTGTCGGTGAGATTCAGGAAAGTACAACGGGGCAGCTGATGGCGATTGGGGGAACTGCGTGAGGTCCCAAGGTGCCTACTTTGAAGGGGACTGAGGCATCACTGTCCTACACAATGTTTCTTATATCTTGTATCTTCTTCAATAAATGTCTCTATTTTTCATAGCACATGGCTGGGTACCTTCTGGACAGACCTGATATTCTGATTGACCATTAACCACTCATGCTGGTAGTTACATATTTTTAATATCACTCTTGTTCTTAGAAACTTCAGATAACAGAGTTTTTTTAGCCATGTGTCATCTGTGTATAAATTGGACTATGAGAGGATGCAGGACCTCTTGTGTCTTATTCATGCCCAAGTATATGGCACTAGGGTAGAGGTATAAATGAAGCTGCGTGATAAACCTTGTACATCTTTCTGATGCATCACTTTTATTCACTGATGTCAATTTCATATTAAAACAAACACAAATGTATTATGGAATACAATGCAAAAATTACATGTGTTTTAAGAGAGGATATTTTTTTTAAATTGTGTCTTTGATGGGTGACCTTAGATTCTCATTCTCTACCTCTATTATTGGCATTTCAGTAGAAAATTGTGAGAGGCACTGATGTAGGGTATTTGTCAGTATGGAGTTGCTTTTAATCCTGTGGATCCCATAGTCCATCTCTGTGTTCTTTGTCACTATGGGGAACCAAAAGTGCAACTCTAGAAGTGGAAACTAAGACTTTATCTCCAGCGTCTCTACTCTTTTATCAAGTTGAATTTGTAGCCAACTCAAAGGCTGATAATTTATATTATGGATTTTTTTATGTGAAAATATTTTAGTTCACTAATTGCACTGAAAGTAAATTCTTGCCCTGGCAGGCATGGCTCAGTTGGTTGGAGCACTGTCCCACAAACCGAACAGATCATGGGTTCAGTCCTAGTCAGGACACATACCGACCTTGCAGGATCGGTCCCCAGTCAGGGCGCATGGGAGAGGTCACCGACTGATGCTTCTCTCACATCAGTGTTCCTCTCCTTCTCTCACCCTCCCTTCCCCTCTCTCTAAAATCAATAAGCATTTCCTGAGATGAGGATTTTTAAAAAAAGAATTTCCTTTATTATTTGTATTGTTAACAATTTATAGTCTTTTAGTTTTCTCCTTCCTAATTATTAGAAACCTACGTATTTAACAATATTCTCTTTCAAATACCATTTTAAGAGAAAGTTACTCTGTTTATATGGATATTTTGCAGTGTGCTCTGTATTTGCAAATAAAGAGGTACATGTCAGAGTTGAATAGGAATTAGGACTGGAAATTGCATCATTTCTTTCATTCTTTTGAGCAAGATCATCACAGTATAAACTAATCAATTGTATATGTGAATTGCCAAGACATGTCATGTTTGTATGCAAAATATAAAGGTCATATCTCAATAGAATTTTTTAAATGTGATCACCAGCTAGTAATCCTAATAGTCTAAGAGTAGGAAGCACATGCTAAGTGTCCTAGACTCTTGTGACAAATTGCTGCCTACCCAGCTATATGACTTTGGATGTACCACAATCTTAATTACCTGGTCTGCAGATGAGTAGGAGGTACTTATCCCCCTTGCAGTTTTAAGATTCTAGAATTCTAAGCATATGTAACTAGTGCAGATTTTCTAAAATTTGCATGATAAATGTAAAAAGGGGGAACAAAGAATTAAAAGTGTTTCTAGAGACACTACCAGATTAGAATTACTGCTAAATATTGGTTTGTTTAATTCAGCATTGCTGTGTAACTTGATCCTAACTTCATAGTCAAAGAATATTAGGTTGTAACAAACTTGTATCTTGTATGTATATATGCTATTTCTGCTTAAATTTCCATATAATCATGTTTCACCCTGACTTTTTAAAATGAAGTAAAATTAATCTCCTCAATTTTCTTTGATATTCAAACACTGAATCAGTTTATATAAAAATTGATTATGGACAGACATTCTGCTAGGTACTTAGGAAATAAATTTGGAAAACATAGGTCCTCTCTGCCCTCAGACGTTCACAAGACTCCATTCACAGAAGCCTGATCTAGGCACTGAGGCTAGTAAGGCCGTTGAGTTAGGTAACAGTTAAAACTATCATCATGGTGTCTCCCCAGAGTATGTCTGAGAAAAGGCAGCTCTTTCCAGCTTCTTGCAGCCTGGTCATATAGGAGAGCCTCAAGAAAAATCAATTGAATCCGTTGTTTCTGTTAATTTAGCCATTTCATGTAACTCACCTATAAATGCATTACCAGATAATATTTATATAAAACAAAGGCTATTGAATGACAAATATTTTGAATTTAAAACCTCCGTGGTGAGCATCCCAATAGTATAATTTGTATAAAGGTTGACTTCCTATTAATGAATACATAAAATGCTACCAATATCTGCCAATAGAAGAGTTATGAGTGGAAATTTATTTTTCTGACAAGCACATTATCTGTAGCCTTTTAGACATTCAGGACTTCAAGACCCTATTTTGGGCGCTGTGCTCTTGGCATCGAACAGGGAAACAACTTTTAATGCTGCCATACTCTGAATATCAAGGTGTCTAGAGATTAGAAAAATTATACTAACTTTAAATATGCATGTTTTTAAAATATGGTATGACTGATAAATTCAAACAGAGTCTAACTTTAAATTCCGTAGGTTATTTTAGCTTCCATGATTCAATTTTAATTGACAAGAGAATGAGGCAAAACATATTTCACATTTTTGCATTGTTCCCTGCGAGACATCTATTGTAAGAATTGCTGCAGGCTGTCGTTTTTGTCTGTCATCCAGGATTTGCTGGCCCAAGTGCTGTGTACTGGACTCAGCGCGGGTCACGAGGAGGGGCGGAGCTTGCAGCTGAGCCAGGCTGGTTTGTTATTGCTTTAGAATTAAAAGCATATGAAACAGATACAGCTTATTAAGGTTGTTTTTTATAAATAACATAAACTTAACAAAACAATAAAGTTCATATACAACTTAAAATAGAGTTTAATGCTGTAACCACCGAAAAAAAGCATGATTATTTGTGGGAAAAACATTATTAAAAGCCATATTCCTGAATATGAATTATACAAAAGATAGATTATATTACTTGACTTTTAACTTTTAGGGATTATAAAATGTTATTTTGTGGCAAGTGAGATGAAGTACAGTATTATCATCATTATTGCTATTTTATACACAAGATTTTTGAAAACATCCTTATAGCAATACCCTTTCAATTTGAGCAGCATTAGGAATTTTGTTCCTGTTAATAACCACGAAAATGTCCTAATCGTATTCTTTTATAAAACTACCTATTTTATTTAATTCCATAATAGAATTTTTGAGAGACTAGTCCCTCTTTTCTGATCAGAGTTTGAGTGAATTATGAATTTTTATTAGAAAGTATTTCAAATACTGCTCATCTTCCATAGTTAGCGTTGGCTTGATTATCTGACAAATCATTCCAGCAGCCTTTAGGTCTGACATATCTTATATAACATCATCTGCATTATTATTATTATAGCAGCCATTTAATAAGCAGATAGGAATATTTAAATAATCATTATCAGATAATCAAATCTAACATACTCTTAAGGGTAAATTAATTTAAGAAAAAACATTACTATTACTAACATCATGATTGTACAACCAGTTTTACAACTTTTTACAACTTTTAGTTACTAAATCTGATTTTTGTGTTTATTTTTCAAATCTTTCTTTAATGCAGTCTCTTAAAATAAACATAAATGCGCAAGTCCAGCTTGATCAGTTTTTCAGTAGTTTTCCAGCCTTTCTTGGTTACTTAAAAAAAAGAAAAGAGAAAAGAAAAAAGGAAAGAAAAGAAAACAGTCCACTTAAAGAAATCTCCCTGCTGGAACTGGTTTCTTATATACCATATATGATTAGGTTATTGCCATAGGAAGAAAGTGAGCTGTTTTTTGTTCTTTCTTCGTTTTTTTCCCTCTTACAGGAACCCCCTTTTGATTTAAGGCAACAAACATTTCTCCTCCACTGTGTGTCCATTTAGCTGATGCATATGTGTTGTAATGGTTTTCCAGAATTAATTCTTTGAAGTTGCAATCTTCATTGCATTCTTTCTGTTAAAACAACAAACAAACAGCATTATCCAAATGATTTTTAGAGGGACTCAACTAAACAAAGAGTAAGCAATAATATTTGGTAGAACTAAAACATATATGAGGTGGGCGTAATGCAGTTAATTAGATATCATTTCACATATTTGCAAAAAATGACATCTTAAATTTTTTAAAAAGATAAAATGATACACAGTTATGCAACAGATTTTCAAACATGTGGCTTTTGGCAGTCAGTTGCTACTGTTCTTTAATATTAGGAGCTATTTCCCCTTAATTAGCAGCTCTCATGTTACTATGCCTAAGTCACTCAATCCCTAACCACTGAGACTTGGATGGAATTAGCACAGCCTCTGCCTCCCTCAGCTGAAAGACATATTTCACAACCTCACTTCTTTCACTGCTACACTGCCTGCAATAAGGATGGAAAATAAAAAGTTAATTTATTTGTTCATCTATCCAACTATTCATTCATTCATTCATTCAGTTAAAATCTATATTTTTATGTAATTAGCTTGTGCCAGGTATTGTGCTGGGCTGTGGGAATACAAAGGAAGGCCAATTTTTACTGTGGGATGAACTGTTACATATTTCACATTGTGATAAAGCGGGAACAATGGGAATGCTTGCAGTTCAAAGCCCATGATTTTGAGATTGATGTTGATAAACAAACTTCTGGATTTTTTCCCAAGAATTTTTATGTCAGCAATGTGCAAATTGGGTAAACTTTAACAAAAAGAGCCTTAATACGGATAGATGGAAATTTTAGATTTTAAGTATCTAAAATGTACATGGAATGTTAGAGCTGGAAGAATCCTGAGAAGCTAGTTAGTTTAACTCAATTTACAAATTAAGAAACCAAAGTCCAGGGAGATAAGCAACTTGTCCAGTCACACAGAAAACATTTTTCTTAATGCCTGAATATAAAGTACTGTAATGAAATCATTAAATTATATGGTTAGAGAGAAATTAATTCCATTTTTACTTTTCAGAAAGGCAAGACGTTCTTGGTAAAAAATGACTTTGAAAAATTAAGGATAAGCTATCAATTATTAATACCTTTGCATAGAGTTTCCCTTCCTTGTTCATTGCAAGAAAATATTCACTTTCCACCCCTTTGATCGCCACAATTCCAACCTCCACTGTCCTGATTTCCATGATGTCTGCAAGGAATCACAGAAAGATATGTCAATTATTCAGTCAGCTTCGCAGATTATGCAAGAATGGCCATTTGTCTTTATTTCTGTTTTATTTGGAAATTAAGATTATTAATGTCAATATTCAGTTAGCCTGAGCCCCCTTTAACTCAAACACACAAACATCAGATTACTAGTTCTTATTAAATATGTGCAAACTATTGATTTTTTTATTTCTTAGAAAAATATATCTGGATTGAAAGAAATAGTTACGTATTTGAACTTAGCTTTTTCTTCTCTAGAGTTACATTTCTAATTTACAAGAATAATAACAATAACAATAATAGCTAAGGTTTAATGAATTCATACCTGATGCTAAGAATTGTTCCAGTACTTATGTGTTAACACACCTACTTATCTCCAAGACTATGGAGGCATGCACTCTTGTTATCCCCAATTTACAGATCAAGAACTCAGGCCTAGAGAAATTTAGTAAATTGCCCAGATTCTGTCAGCTGGTTAAGTGGCATAAGTGGAATTTGAACCCAGATGGTCTGTCTCTTAACCATTACAAAATACTATGAAAGTTTATAATAAGCTAACATCTTCACTTTTCTACTTAAACTTTATCTTAAAAATTATTGCTAACAGAGTATCTCTTGAATATACTGAAATTGAATAAAAATCCAGTAAAGCAATTATAAATGATGGTAAACAGAGCCTGGCCTTTAAAAAAATTAATAGTTTTTTGATACATGAAAAGATTAAAAAAACAAATTATGAATTATACTCACTTTATTTTATAAATTTATAACTTTCTATTTGTTTAATCTTTTTTGAAATGTTTTACAAAACATATAGTTACCACAAGAATGCTAACCTCTTATTTTTTATTATATATCTTTTCCTTATGTGCTATTTTTAATAGCATACTAAATACAGTAAAACCTCAAGAAATTTTTTAAATCGATTTGGGAATTAAAAGTTTAGTGAATCTTTTTATGTAATTGCTGTTAATTATACTTTCAACATGATTCAAACAAGAGACATTCTCTTGCCTGTGCCTCACACAATACAAAGAAAATTCCAAGTGAAAATTAGTTGTACAAATTGAGACTCCAAAAGCTGTTTTCTAAAATATTCATTTAATTAAAGGAAAATCAGATATTTTACTCCGTGCCTTTACTTCATCCTCGTACTTATTCTTTTTGCTTCAGTTTTCCTGTTTGGAGAATAAAATTGCTCCCTCCTTCATTGAGATTGTTGTAGCCCAGCTAATATTTGTCATCTGTCTTATACATGTGCTCCTTTCCAGTCTCCTGCACTTGGCCCTTGTCTGGGCTCTAAATGAGCATTCTGTAATCATCTAGAATAAGGGTCTATGAAGAAGATGCCAGAAATATTAATATTTCTTAATCTTTTTAAGTGTTCGTGAAGCATTGTCAGATGTATAGTACTATACTGTAATTTTAGGATACAAATTTGCAGCATTTAGCAAATCTTCACGGAGAGCCAGCTCTGTGCTAGGTAGATATAGAGACAAACCCCATGCTCTTGGAGCACTGTACCTCGTATCTATCTCTTTGTGTTCATTAAAGGAATATCAACGGGAAATAACTTGCTATGCCATGGAACCCAATTAGGTTAAATTTGTTCTAATATAATGAATAATACTGCAGAAATTCACAGATTTAACATACTCATATTTGCAATACCTTCAAAATTGAGTAAATATATCTATTTATAGACATATGGAATAGTTGGTTCCTAAAGCTCTTACCACTGTAAAATTATGTGAAGTCACTATTTTCTTTATCTTAAGTCCATTTACTCCTGCTTTTTCTCCCTTTATTCAATACTATGTTTTTTCTCAGATAGAAAGAAGAGTACTGATGAATAGGCTTATGATATCTTTTATACTCAGTTGTACTTAGGGAATGGAATCTGTAATGTTTGCTGACTTGTCTTTAATAGGCCAGCTGTTCAGACAATATTACTGTTGATAGAGTTATTGTTAATTATGATATGTAGGCATATCCCCTTTCAGGTCCAGTCATGACAATGTATTCATATTGTCCCGCTTCCAAACCCTTTTTGTCTCTATCCCCTGCCTGTCCATTGTTCATGTTATTTTTGTTGCCCTCTGACACTTAATAAGTGATGAACATGGTCAATCGTATCCCTCCACATATTGGGGTTAATGCTATCCAAAAAAAAAATACTTTAAATTTTTAACAACCCAGTTCAATTGGGAGCAAAATATCTGAACCAATATCTTATCAAAGTAGGTACACCGATGGCAAATAAGAATATGAAAAGGTTCGATCTAAAGGTTTAAAGATTCTACCCTTAACTGGCATTATAGTAGATGTGAAAATGCTAAGGTTCCTGATTCAAGAATGTTCTTTATTGTTTGATGCATTTAAAAAAAATATCTAAGAAATCAACAGACTTAAAAGTGGAATCCCTGGAAGAGCATTAAGTAGTGTTGGCAGAATCAATACTACTTAATTGATTCACCTCTCAACCTTGACTTTCTAGTCTGTTTTCCTCTTGTGCTATGCCCTTTTTTATTCCAGAAAACCCCAGAATGAAGAAACTAAAGTGACCAATCTTTGTTCAAGTGCTGAATAGAGAAGTGATGTTCCTACAGATCCACAAAGATCTATAGAATTAACTAAGTAAGCTTGTGGTATCCTGCCCTCCAAACCATAAGCCAGGCAGTTGTTCAGAAAATATAATATGAAAATATATAGTGTGCTAATATTAAGTTAGCTATTCAACCAAATAAGTTAATTGCACATGTCTTTTTGTCTACTGTATATCTTTGCTTTATAGAAGACAAATATTAGAGTTTGTCTTTTTTGTTGGTCTGGATTTATATTTAAGAGAAGATTATGTGTATAAATAACATAATAAATTTGTTTCCAAAGATGAAAGGCATATTGCCTTGGTGCATCAAATTGTTCATGACCGTGATAGCATAATGATAGAGTTCAAAAAATAAATAAAAGAAAGAGATTGTCTCACACAGTAGAACATTAAAAAATGAGGCAGCATGCCAAGTAAATTGGCTTTTAGCTTTGTTAAAAATACTTTTGTTAGCAATATTGTCAATCATAGCATCAATTCATTACTCAGTATGTCACTAGTACTAACTAGGGAAAATGCCCAAATTGGCTTCCCTAATTTTTCTGTGATTAGTTTCAGTTAAAATCATTCATGAGTTTACCTAAACGATTTTGCTTCTTTATTATTTAAACCTGATTCACACTTGCAATGAGAAGTGAAGAACCTTGGTATACCTTGCTATTACTTTTTAAAGAATTATCCTACATCTATTTTCAGAATTTAAGGTGCTCTCCTAATTTATTTCAAAAATTAATGCTAAATCTTTGTTCTTATTACCAACAGGATTTATGATTCTAAAGCGTTTTAATGTTTCTAATTTAAATTTTTTTATTTTATTAATAATTTATTTTGGGGGCCAGTTTTAGATTCACAACAAAATTGAGGGGAAGGTACAGAGATTTCCCACATACCCCCTGCCATAACACGTGCATAGCTTCCCTTATTATCAACATTCCTCACCAAGGCGGTTTGTTACCGTTAATGAATCTACATTGAAACATCATTATCACCCAAAGTCCATCATTTACATTATGGTTTACTCTTGGTGGTATGCATTCTATTGGTTCGGACATGTATCTGTCGTCACTATATCATACAGAGTAATTTTATTGACCTAAAAGTCTTCCATGCTCTGCCTTTTCATCCCCCTCCCTTACTCTCAACCCCTGGCAACCACTGATCTTTTTGCTGTCTCCATAGTTTTGCTTTTTCCAGAATGTTATATAGTTGGAATCATACAGTATGTAGCCTTTTCAGAATGGCTTCTCTTAGTCATGTGCATTTAGGGTTCCTCCACGTCTTTTCATGAATTGATAGCAGAAAAAAAAATTCATATCTCATCACACGGAAGTCACCTTCCCCCATCCCAGTTACAAGAAAAAAAAAATTGTAATGTTAAATGCTGTCTGTGATTTTCTGTCAAGCCTGGATTGTTGAGTTGGAAATCGTAACCATTATATACTTATATTACATTTAAGGCTATAAATTCCATTTATTATTCCATTCAAGTACACTAAAAAATACAGCCAGTTTATCCCAAACAAAAACTCTTAAAACTGAACAATAAGAAAACAAGAAGCCCAGTTAAAAAGTGGGCAAAAATATCTGAACCGATGCCCCATGAAAGATATACAACAGCAAATAAAAGTATGAAAATCTGCTCAACATAATATGTCATTACAGGATTGCAAATTAAAACAATGAGATAGTACTGCACAACTTTTGGAATGACTAAAATCTTAAAAACTGACAACACTGTATGCAAAAAAGGATGTAGAGCAACTGGGACTCTCATTTATTGTTAGTGGAAATGCACATAGTACAGCCACTTTGAAAGAGATTAACAGTTTCTTAGGTAACACTAAACATACTCTTATTATACAATCCAGCAATCCTGCTTTTAGGTATTTACCCAATTGATTTGAAAACCATGTCCACACAAAAACCTGAACATGAAGGTTTACAGCAGAGTTTTATTTATAATTGCCAAAACTGGAAGCAAATGAATGTTCTGCAATATATGAATGGATAAACAGAGAATGGTAAATCATACTTTGGAATGTTTTTCAGCAATAAAAGGAAAAGAACCATCCAGCCACAAAAAGACATGGAGAAACCTTAAATGTCTATTGCTAAAAGAAGAAATCAGTCTGGAAGGCTATATACTGTGTGATTCCAACTGTATGACATTCTGGAGAGGGTTAAGCTATACAAACAGTAAAAAGATCAGTAGTTGCCAGGGGTTTGGGGAAAGGTGAGAAGGGATGAAAATCTAAAGAATAGGATTTTTAAGGCAGTGAAACTATTCTGTATGATACTGTAATAATGGATACATGATGTTATTTATGCGCTTGTTTAAACACATAGAACTATATAAAGCAAAGTGTAAACTTTAG